TCCAACCGCTCGCGAAACGACGAAACGACGCGTTTCTCGATGCGCGACGAGTTTGTTTCGTTCGCTCTCGATCCGAGCGAAGAAACTTCGTTCGTGCGAGATCGTCCAAACTTTCGCCGTTTCGTCGTCCGTTCTGTCCCGCTTTCCGACGCGCGGGAGTCGCGATTTTCTTCGATTTCGACGGACCGACCGAGCGTCGATCGCCAGTCTTTTTCGTCAGACTTACCGTCTTGTAAATCCTCGCGGTACGATCGTAGTTTCTTTTTGTCGAAAGACGCTTTGCTCTCGCCGCTGATTGCGCAGCCCGTGTACGATTCTACCCGTTCGTCGACGGAGCGACGATCGCCGTCTTCCCCGTCCAGTGCTAAATTCGACGAATTTTCCCAAACGCGAAAAGCCGTTTGCCGTCTCCTTGCTTTTCGCGTCCACCGACCTGACCAGCCAACTTTGCGTCGAATCTCTTCCGTTCGATCGAACGTGTCTCGACGAACGGACGAGCATGGTCCTCGTTCGTCCGACAATTTCGACGAACCTTGGTTCCTGGTTTGCGACTCGACTCGTTCGAGACGAGTTTGTCGCTTCGTCTCGGCCCTGGCTTCCCTCGCTTCTCCGTTGTCGAGGAGAGCAACGTACTTTCGCTTCGCAACGTTGCGCGTATTTACCGATTCGCGCGAAGCGTGTAAACGCGGGGTGGAACGACGCCTCGCTCGGTAGGCGACGCACCGACTGCGAATCGTTCTCTCGAAAACTGAACAACGCGCGCGCGCGCGCGCGCGTGCCACGACCGTGACGAGAGTAAGTCGTAAAGTTGACAACGGCGATCCGGTTGAACGTGCTTCTTTCTAACGAGGGTCGTTCTCGCTGGGTTTAGCGTCCGTTCCAACAAACTCACCACGACGTTCCAGACTTGGTCCATCTTTTCCGAAACGGACAACGCCGGATATATCTGCTCGACGAGTCGATCGATTCTCCTTTGTTTCGCCGATGGCTCGCCGCTGCTGACTCTCGGCATCGTTGTAACGTTGAACGCTGCCGATCCACCGTTCCCGCTCCCTCTCGCTGATGTCGCGTCGTGTGCGTCGGTCGTCGGGTCGCGAATGGCTCCCGAACGATCGGAAACTAGGTTCGCGATTTCGATCGCGCTCGCGCTCGCGCTCGCTGGCTTCTTCTCGCTAGCTTCCGCGTTCGTGTCCTCGTTTTGCAACGAGTTGCTCTCCAATTGACGTTTCAAATCCGTCAATTTGTCGTCCATGTCCGACACCTTTCGGTCCAGCGACGCCAATTTTTCGCCAACCGTCGTCTCGGACGACGATGCTCCGCTCCTCTCTTCCGGCGTGCGACGCGTTCCTTTTGTCGATCTCGAACCTGTCTCGTCCGACAAACGCGTCAATTTCGATGCCAGTTGGCAGGCAGATGCCAGAGAAAACCACGAACGAATTACGAGTGCGCGCCTGCGCGCGCGTACGTACCATTTCCGAGTTCGCCGTCGATCGCCGAGTACGCGGCAGACTCGATCGAAGGAAATTCCACTTGACGAGAACTGAAAAGTTTAAGGTCCAAGGTTCGTAGCTTCGCGATGACCGCGTCGGTCTTGTCGATATTGTCGTGTACGCGCGAATCCAAAGCCTCCACTCTTCTCGTCAAGTGTTCGACCGCTTTATCCAGATTTTCGATGCGCTGTAATTTTGATTCCAAAGTCGAAACTATAACTTCGAAAACATTGAAGAGGTATTGCTCTCTGAAAAAAGGTGTCGAAAGATATTACGATCGAGAAATTAAACTCCCTTGGATCGAACCGTCTTTTGCTCGACGACTTCTCGCTTGTCGCGAACGTACGTTGCGACGTACTTGCGTATCCGCGACCGGTCAGATTTTACACCGGCGAGCCGACGCGAGCGATCGTTGAAACAAGCGGGTATACGCGCTTACGTGCGCGCGCGATCCGTGCGTTTTACCTTCTTTTCTTTCCTACGAGATGAAAGTTCGTCGTTCGCGTCAGCCTCGATCGGCATCCGGTTTCGATTTAGTTCGTTTCGTCGTTCTCGCTGCAGCGAGCGAGCAACGACGTGCTCTCTTCTCTTGTATCTTCGCGATCGAAGATTTCCTTTCGTCGTCGGAAAGACGAGATCGCGATCGAGGAGAACGACGACGCGCGTGCCCGAGTGCTACACGTTTGCTTGCTCGCGCGACGGTGGAGCGAAAGTGAAAGCGTGCTTTTCTTTTAACGGGTCGTTCCGCGAATCTCGGCGCGTTCGTTTCTCTCTCGAGAATCGTTTGACTTTTCCACGAGAATCCAAGCACGATCCGAGAGCTTTGAAAACACCGCCCACCGAGTATCGTTCCGAGACGACGCGACGCGATTCGTTCGTTGCGAGCAACGCCTGTCCACGCGTCTGATTCAGCGCGCAGCGCCAACGTATGCGCTTGGGTCGCGAATCGCGTACGCTCTCGAGATCGCTGTATCTTCGCCGTCGGCTCGACGACTGGCGAAAAGCTTCGTCGAGTTCTACCGACTTCTCGCGTGTCTCTCCCCGTCCTCTGAAACTTTTCGTACTTCGTAGCTTCGTTTTCATTTTCGCGGAGACGCGTAAATACTCGCGGACGATTAACCACCGGTCGTTGCACGCGTCGTCGCGTCGCCCCGACGATTTGCGAGTTTGTTCGAAAATCGCGACGCGACGTTTGCGTCGAAGCGTTCGATCTCAAATTTCGACGCTTCGAACGTAGCGAGATAACTACGCGAGATCTACGTGCGTCGCGTACACCTATTTATCGTCGTCGATGCGATCGATTTGATCGCGTCGAGTTTGATCGATCGTTACGTTCGTACGAATCGTACCGACGATCGTTTCTTCTCCGTCGTCTTCGAATTGAATCTCCAGCGAGTCGACTTTCTCGTTTGTCGTCGTCGAATGATGCAAACTTCGCAATGAATATGTACGGATTACCGCGAGAGTGACGATTTCCCGTTTGCACGAAGAAAAAAATTGCTTCTTGGAAGATAAATACGGCGAGTGTAAAACCGAATCTGAAACGACTTGCACCGCCGCGGACGCGTATACGTCCTTTCTCTCGTTACCGCGTAAACTGTAATTTTACGCGATCCGCGGGTAGGTCGGTAGTCGTGCGAGTACTCCCTTCTCGTTGCCGATCCTTTCCAACCTTGCGAACCTGACTGGTAAGCTTCGACGTGCTCGCCGAACGTAACGAGTTACGAGAATGTAAAATTTTACGCTTTTCGTTTCCTCGAGCGACGCGTGCTGCGTCTACGTTGACGCGACGTGGCATTTTCCTCGAATATCTCGTATCGCCGATCGTGATTCGGTCCTGATACCCGTGTAGTACGCGTGATCGTGTCCGATCAACGTACGTCGTGACGAGAAAAAATGTAAAACAACGAATTCGCGGAACACCGCGTCTCTCCGTGCGAACGTTGATTCTTCCGTCGAGTCGACTTCCAACGGACGACGACTTGCTCGAACAAAGGCCAGAGAAAAGGGTGATCTTTTAATTTTCCAGATTTCTATCCGATGCACGTTCGTACGTGCTCGACGAAATGGACGAAGATATATACCGTACGTTCTGCGTCTTTCCAAGTGATATTTCCGCGTGTCGGCGCGTACTCGCGACGACGATTTCAGCCGATTTAACTTTTTTACCTCGATACTTTTTCTTTTCTTTTCTTTTCGACGCGACGACGTTACCTGTGATTTCGTTGTTCGAGAAACGACCGCGGCGATTCGCCGCTGCGTTGCCAGCTCTGTCGTTGGCATTTGCGTGTCCTGTATACGTACGTACGTGTGAAAGTTGACGCTCGAGTATGCGCGCGTATATGCGCGCCCGATAACGCGACCGACTTAATTTGGCTGATCCGTGATCGTGCGATACCCGAGGAAAGTGAAATTTCAGATTTCTTTTGTCCCGTTGCTTTGCGAATATCTGTACGAGTCGTCTCGAGTCGTCCGTTCGATCGAGTTGCGATCCACCTTTCGTATTCTGGCTACGGGCGAACGAAAATTCCACTCCTCGAGTGTGTCGCGTTTCGAACAATTTCGCTGTTTCAATCGCGTGTTGCTTCTGCGAATCGTCGCTGATTGCTCGTGCTATTTTTAAGTTACGATCGCAGGTACTCGTGGCACGGCGAGTCATGCTTTGACGAGTACCGACGACTACTCGACGGAAGAGAAAAGATACACTTTTGGTCGACTTTGGTCTAAACTGTACGCGTGTGATAGTCTCGTGGATCGATGTTTTTGCAGCGAGAATTACAGCGAAAGTTACGCGTCGGATACGCAGTCGCGAACTTATCGTTCGCGCAGAAACGAACCAACGAGAAGAACTAACAACGACCGGTGAGCGAAGCGAAGGAAAGGTGGAAGCGGAATTACAACCAGCGACGTTCCGCGACTGACTACAACTTCCGGGATAAGGTTGAAAAAGAAAGGTGACGAATCGCAAGACGACTGCCACCGTGATTCTAGCGCAACGACGTATCGTATTTGTAAATGGTAGAACGACCCGAGTAGATGTTACACGCCGTCGAAGGCAGAAAGGAAGCTTCTTTCTTCGAGCTTCGAGTTTAATTTGTTTCGCACGCGCGCGCGATACGTACGTTCGATGCAACGTCCATTCTTTTCGAGGAATCCAGGCAACTTGCGCAGCCGTATTGTCGCGACTGGATCTCGCGGATTTCTCGTACGACACCGAAGGAGAACCAGAACCCGGTACGGCGCCCCGTCGTCCTTTCTATCCTTTGTCGGATCTAACGGTTAGACTTTTCGTACCGATGTTATTTCCGATCTTTGCTTTTATCCTTGCGTTTAAAAGTCACGACGCGGTCGTCCATCTACTCGCGAGCTTCTTTCTTCTTTACTCTTTCGCAACTGATAATTTTTCAACGCCGTACGGCATTTTGACAACGTCGTAAAGTATAATTCGTTCGTGTGTGTCGCACTAAGTTATTTATATATATATATATATATATCACGAACGATGCGCGCACGAGTCTTTCCGATTAACGCGTTACCAGAGTTCGTTACCAACGATATTTTTAAAAATGTACACCAACGACCGACGCGTGATCGTATCGTTTGGTTCGTTATTCGCTTT